AATGTAAGGGGGTCTGAATACTTTCCGTACCCACTGTATATATATATATATATTTTGCATGTAAAAAATCTGAACAACTGTCTGAAGTCCTGTGTTGTGTGTGATGCAGGTGTCTCTGAATAAGCTGATGGAGACTCTGGGACAGTCGGAGCCGTACTTCGTGAAATGCATCCGCTCTAATGCAGAAAAGGTACGTTATGAGTCGTGCTTCTGTTAATGTTAAAGTGGATTTAGATGCACGCTTTGATTTGTCTCATTGTTTGGTAGCTTCCTCTGCGTTTCAACGAGGCGCTGGTGCTGAGACAGTTACGCTACACCGGCATGCTGGAGACGGTGAGGATACAGCGCTCCGGATACAGCGTCAAATACAGCTTCCAGGTGACAAAACACACCCGTTCACACAAAAAAGTGTTATGAATTACATTAATTAGACATTTATGAGTATTAAAATTTATTTTATAAAAACTATTAAAACTGGATCCAGAAAAAAATGACCGAAAACAGAATTTGTTTAGAAAAATAAATTAATTTAAATAAAAGTGCCATTTTTGCTCAACTTTTAATGAATAACTTAATTACTACAGTTTTTGATAAGAAATCATAAATCCAGAAAAAATGAAAACAGACAACACAGATTGTATGAAAAAATAAACTATTTAGGCTCTGTTATTGTAAAAATGTGATGAATTATGAGTTCAGTTGATTATTTAAATTTAATTGAAATTTATTGCATTAAAACTTGAATGGGAAAAAACAAAACTGATTTTAAAAAAAGCCTTAAAATGTAATTTTGTTATATCAGAAATTAAAACAGACAACACTGAATTTCTTTTAAAGAATAATAAAATAAAAATAATTAAAAAAAATTATTATTAAATTGTTAAAGTTTAATGATTTCAATTAATTAGACATGGTTTCTTAATTAATAATTTAATTGAACAATTTAAAAAATGGAAAATTAAACATTAAAACGGAATGGAATGGAAAAATAAATGTCATTTTTGTGAAACTTTTAGTAAATTGATGTTAAATTGTGTAATTGTCATGATGTAAAGTAATAAGCCATTGTCTCTGATTACTACAGAATACAAAAAAATTAAAACAGAAAAAACGCAATACAGTAATATTCTAGTAAAAAACTGAATCTGGGAATAAATTAAAACAGAATTTTGGGGGGAAAACGGATTTAATAGTTTTTTTTTAATTAATTATTAATTTTAATTATTTATTTTTGATTACTAAAATTTATTCTAACCTTTAAAACGGAATGGAAAAAATTAAACACAAAAACTATGGAATCTGGAAAATGGAGAGAAAAAAACTGAATCCAGAAAGATTGAAACGGATCTGGTCTTGTGTGTCTTCAGGATTTTGCCCATCATTTCCGTGTGCTGTTACCCGCCGGCTTTCACGCCACTCAGACGCGAATCAGACAGTTCCTGCAGAGCGTCGACCTCGAGACCAACGGACATCAAGTGGGCAGAAGCACGGTAACGTCAACACTCACACTCACACACACTCACACTCTCACACACACACTCTCACACACAGAGACGCTTCTGCAGACAGAGACGAGCCGCTCGACTCATACAGGTACAAACCCCGCATTCGGCTCTTACTGTCACTGCTTTGTCTCAGCAGCTTCATTTAATGCGGTATTTATTAATAATATTAGTGTGGTATACATTAAGCAATTGTCCATGAGAGGATGTGCATCACTGTGATTTTACTACAATTAAAAAAACATGGTACTAATGTTTAAAAAGAGTATATAAAGAGATATAAAATATATAAAATATAAAATAATAATATGCATTTAAAAATATATAAACTATTTAAAAATATATACATTTTATTGTATACAACAGTATATGATTATTTAAATCATTTAAATTATTTAAAGTTTAAAAAATATATAAATTAAGTTACAAATATATATTATAATATATCCTGTAAAAATGTATGCATTATTTTTTTTTAAACTTACAAAATATCAAAATATACCTTTTTAAAAGTAGGTAAATTAATTATTTAAAATAACAATCATTATTTTAAAAATGTTAAGCTATTAGATAACACGAGATAAAATTCTGCAATATTATTATCCCAATTAACAAAACCCCAAACGATTACATGTATTTAAGCAGTAAAATGAAGTACTGGCAGTAAAGTAAAATTAGAGCAAAATAATACTTGATAACAAAAAATAACAGCCATTAAAAGCAAGTCAAATAAAATAATGGGCCATTAAAAAAATTTGGACAAAACCATGCATAATAACAAGAATACAAAATACAAAAAAAGCAGTAAAATAAAATACGGGGCAATGACATAAAATTAGAACGAAATAATACATAACAAAAATGCAATAAATCAGTAAAAAAAAAAGGTCATAAAATAAAATTAGAACAAAATAATCCATAACACAAATAAAAAAATTTTTTTAAAACATACAATAAAGCAGTAAAATAAAATCCCGGGCAATAAAATAAAATCAGAACACAGTAATAGATAATAATACAAATACAATTTGTAAAAAATGAAATCAAATTAATAATAAAAAAGTACCGTATTGTCCCGAATATAAGACGATATTTTTTTCCCTCAATTTTGAAAAATTTACCCTCAAGTCTGGTTTTGTGCTCCAGGGTCACAAATAAAAAGTAAAGGGGAGCTTAACTGTCTATAGAGTCAGCTATTTATCATATATCATCACGTATTATTTTACTAAGTAGTATGCAGTCTGTGCAGCGCAGTAAGCAGGATTGTGTGTGTTTCTCAGCGCTGGTGGCGGGACTGTCTGACTCGATCTGATGCTGAGCTCCAGCAGGGGGCAGCACTGCGTCTGCAGGCGTCCTGGAGAGGCTTCAGAGAGCGACAGCTGTACCTGCGGCGGAGGAGAGCAGCGCTAGTCATCCAGACGCGCTGGAGGAGAGTCCTGCAGACGCGACACACAGCCGCGCGCCTCATTCAGGCCGTCTGGAGGAGCTGCAGACACAGACGCAGCGCCGCCGTCACGCTTCAGGCCGCCTGCAGGGGGCAGCAGGCCCGGCACAGGTCAGGACACTTACATCAGTGCTTTCATCCACTGCACTGAAGGCACAGATTTGTATCAGAAAGGCCTGCAAGTAACCTAAATAGAGATGTATGCAGGAATGAGGCCCTAATTAGGGATGGTAATGATTCATTTATGATAAATGAACTGCATAAATGTCCGCTTGTGATTATTAAATGGATTAATCTATTATAAATGGACTAATTAAGCTTATTTATGAGATGATAAAATGTCTCTCATAGGTGTAGGATGGTATACCTTATTTTATTTTTTAGTTATGTTTATCTATTTTTTACTGCATGTAATTGTAAAGATTTATAATTAGGGGTGTTAATGAATCATTCATATTTATAAACTATTAGTCAACTTTTTAATAAAAATGTAGATTTTTTTTGTATTTTATTTTTAAAAATAGAATTTAATTATTTTTATTGTCTGTTTTTAGCAATGTTATACTTTTTATATATATATTTTAATTTCCTTTTAAAAAATAGTACTTTAGTATTTTTATTTTATATTTTTAGCATAAAAGTAATATAATTGTTCTACTTTATTTTAGTTTTATTTATATTTATCTATTTTTCCCACTTGATTAATGAGCTGTTAGTCAATGTTATATTAAAAATGTGAATTATATATGTAGAGTCTCTCATGGGTCTAGAATGAGAGGAGTCATTTTATTTGACTTCTTTTTTAAAAGATGGTATTTTATATTTGTAATATATTTTTATTTTATATTTTTGGCATAAAAACAATCTAACGGTAATACTTTATTTTTGTTTTATTTGTTTAATTGTTTGATCTATTCGTTTTTTTAATATAAAAAAAAATTAGATTATATATGTGATGTATTTTTTATATTTAATTTCCTTTTTAAAAATAGTATATTTTTTATTTTATATTTTTGCATAAAAATAATATAAGTTTTATACTTTATTTTTGTTTTATGTTTATCTGTTTTTCCCCGCACTTTATTAAATTACAGAAAATTGCGTGTTTATATATATATATTTACATTACATTTACATTTAGTTATTTAGCAGACGCTTTTATCCAAAGCGACTTACAAATGAGGATAAGGTATGATAGGTAAGACTCAATCTTACCTATCAGACTCATCTGATAGGTAAGACTCAAACCACTGGCGTGCGGTTCCTGAGATGGAAGTGAAAGATGGAAGACAGAAGTGAAACAAGTAGTAGGAAAAAGGATGAATCAAAAGCAATACTTATATCCCTTGCCGGTGTCCCTGCCCGGTGGAGTCGCACGGTAGAGACGAGGAGGGCTTAAAAGGAGGGCTGCCACGGTATACTAACCTTTTTTATACCCGTCGGACAAAACGGAAATTGAATTCAGCTGAACACACATATATATATATATATATATATGCACACATCAGAGGTATCAGAATATTATAAGACTATATAGAATATATAGTATTATAATATTATAAAATGTACTTTATTTTTGTTTATGCATAAATCTCATTTGTCCAAAATCTCACTCCACATCTTTCAGACACCAGATTTGTTCTGATTGGCTCTGATTGGACAGCTGATGTTCTGAGAGCGTTGATATTTCATATGTTTGTGATTCGGTTTCTGTTGGAACTATTTTGGTTGCCAAAGCAAAAATAAACATAGGTGTCCATAAAGTGTCTTAATATTTAGTTGATTTACCGAGTGTGTAGTTTGTCCTTACAGGATAAAAGTGTCATAAATGTGTGTTGTTTTTTTCCCAAGGTGCCGCATTCTGAGAGAGCTGCAACGTGGAGAGAAAAGCCTCTGTGAAAACACTGTGAGCAAAAGTTTACATGCCCATCAAAACCAAGCTGACGTCCAAGAGGAGAAGCGAGAGAGTCGATCCACCAGAGCTCGCAGAAGCATAGACGACAGCACGCTGAAGAGCCGCTCCAAACGCGAAAGCAGGAGGCAGCGGGAACTCCAGCAAGCCACGTTCAGTCTAGAGCTGCTCAAAGTCCGGTCCAGTTCAGTGGACGACGCGCTTCCCGCTCAGACCGCGCTCTCCAAACATCAACCTCCGGACAGTCGAGAAAGCTTCGAGCTCCTCATCCTTCCCGACGAGGAACCGGCGACGTCCCAATCCGAATCCGAGCCAACGGAGGAGAACCGGAGCAGTCCGGCGTCCTTCAAACCTCACTTCTACATCGCAGACGAGGACGGCAGCCCGCTCAAGCAGACCCAGGAGAAGAAGGAGTCTGTGGTGGTCATAATCAGCATGCAGGAGAACCCAGTCGAGCACAGCAGCCTGGAAGCTCTGCAGAAACTCCAGCCCATGGATGCTCAGGAGGTTTGTGGAGACACCGAGGACAGAGCGAATGGATTGTCGTCCTCAGATCATTCAGATGACCATGAACCTCAAACCCCTTCTTCCAAACCCCTCCAGCTGGACTTGAGGGACTCAGAGGCCAAGAAGGAGGTTCAGAAGAAGTTTGTTTCTCAAAGCATCAGCATCAGTATGAAGGAGAAAGCCTTCTGTCCCAAACGCAGCCGACTGACCTTCTCCAAGTGAGTTTACATCCACCTGACCTGCCAGATCTTCCTGCGGGAGCAAACATCTCATGCAATGACATGCAGAGAGTTTTATGTGTTTTTTTTTTGTGTTTTTCAGGTCTGACAAAGACCTGGTGAATCAGGAGCGATCTCTGGAGATCCAAAGAGAGGCGGGATTCAGATCGTTAAAAACCAGAGAGGTGAGAAACTTTATCTGTTCAGAATTTTTAACTGCAGAAGCATTTCTTCTTCTTCTTTTTTTAAAGCAATAAGCCTCGTGAAGCCGTGGTTTACAGTGAATTTATAACAGCTAAGGGGCGTTGTTAGGTACGACGTGAAGCGGAGTTAAACCCCCTTAGCCGTTGTAAATTCACTGTAAACCACGGCTTCACGAGGCTTATTGCTTTTATAAAACGGTTATTCCATATACGTAGTAAGGTTTCACAAAATAAAACAGAGCAAATAAAGTGTAATGATATTAATAAAAACAGTATTCTTCCACCAAACAATGTAGTTCCTCAGAATCAGTTGTGGTTGCTACAAAGTGTAAACACACAAACGTAAACAAAGGTGTATGTTACTTTGTAGAGTCATTTACAACAGCTTCGAACGCGGCTCAGCCAATCAGAATCAAGCACCGGAACTCTCCGTTTTATAAAAGTGATTTTGAAATATTTCTTTCAAATGTATATTATTTATTTCATTGTATTATTTCAAAAAAGTTTTTAGTATAAAAACAATATTTTTAATACTTTAATTATTGTAATTAATTTTACTTAATTTTTACTATATTATAATTCTTTATTTGTTACATTTGAATATTTATATTTTTAGTAATATATAATCTATATATTACTGTATATCTAAATATCATATGTATTATTTTAAAAACATTATATTGTATCGTTATATCAGTTATATTTTAATAACTATATTACTATAGTTTTATTTTTATTTGTATTACATTTTAATATTTTATATGAACTTTTTTATATGTTATCTATATTACTGTATATCTAAATTATATGTATTTAAAAAAATTCTATTGTATAGTTATATCATTATTATAGTTATATTTTAATAACTATAATACTATAATTTTATTTTTATTTGTATTACATTTCAATATTTTATATGAACTTTTTTGTTATCTACAGTATATTACTGTATATCTAAAAAAAAATTTTTTTTATTTTTTTTAAAAGTTTAGTATAAAACAGTATTTTTAATACTTTAGTTATTGTAATTAATTTTACTTAATTTTTACTATAATATATATTTTTTATTTGTTACATTTGAATATTTATATTTTTAGTAATATATAATCTATATATTACTGTATATCTAAATATCATATGTATTATTTAAAAAAATTATATGGTATAGTTATATCGTTATTATAGTTATATTTTAATAACTATATTACTATAGTTTTAGTTTTATTTGTATTACATTTTAATATTTTATATGAACTTTTTATATGTTATCTATATTACTGTATATCTAAAAAATTATATGTATTATTTAAAAAAAAGTTTAGTATAAAGCAGTATTTTTTTAATACTTTAAATTAGTTATTTTAGTACATCAAGTTAAAGAAATTTTGCCTTGGCAACTAACTGAAATTAAAAGTTTACGTTTATGTATTTTTTCTTTTATTTATTTATACATTCCTTTATTTCCACTTTTATTTATTTTCACATTGATGTATTTATTTACATATTTATTTCCACATTTATTTATTTCTACATTTCTTTGTCCGTAGGGTAATGAGGAGGGCGTGTTTTACCTCAGGAATAGCAATCGAGCCAGAGTAGGCGAGGGGTAAGCTTTGAGGCCACGGTGACAAACGGCAGAAATGAAAGCATATCTAAAGTAAAAGACTAAAATAACAGCGAGTGGAAGCACTGTCAAGCAATACGCACATGTCTGTATACTCTGTGCAGTGAAGCCTCTAGCGCACACACCTGCCAAATGCGGGAAAAAGCCAAGCTCAGATTTAAAAATAGAGAGTGCGTTTTTAATACTCGCGTGACCAGCGCAAATGCGTACAGTATGATGTCAGTAGGCTATAATCGATCATGGTCTATTATTGCATCAATGCAGAATCGTCCACGTCCGCATCACGATGCATCGATGCAACGATTAATTTCCACTGTTCTTGGCCAGAATAGGCTTTAATGCAAAACACCTGTTGCATGAAGCTTTAACTAGTTTCAGAGTAGGTTTAGTTATTAGTTATTATTAGTAATTATGGCAGGGATGGCATTCCATATTTCATAACCAAATCTGACATCTTTTCTAGATAGGACTAATCAAATAGAAGACTAATAAAGCTGACTGGATGAAGCTGCCGTGTCTCGATTAACCAGAATCTGAAGACTGTCTTTTCAAGTTTTTCGGGTGTCTGGTCTTGAACGCGAGGCTTCTCTAAACTGGTCATTTTCTGAGCTGCAGCCGTTGATGAATATCGAGTTTGCAAGTCAAGATGCATGCGACTGCCATTAACATGGATTTCTCCATTACTCACTCATTCTCTTATCTTAAATACTCTCTCTTTCTCTCATACTTTCTCTCATTCACTTGGGTTTGGTGTCGTTAAGTTGTCTAGTTGTTAATTCTTCAAACAGCTTTACGTGAAACGCTGAAACCAGAATGAATCTGATAGCTATTTAATTTGGTCTGAAGTTCACAAAACATTACATACGATCTGATTCTGGATTTGTTTCCCAGAAAGAGCAGAAGAGGATCCAGAAGACCATGTCGTCAGGTGACCTTGGGAAAATGGATTCGCTCAGGAAGTCGATCTCGCAAACCGATGGCAGGTCAGATGGGATCAAAACTCTATTTTAGGACTGCACAGTAAATAGAAATAAAATCGATATTGGGCAGTTGTCATATCGCGCAGTCAGGCTGCGATGTTAAAAAATGTTTGTTTGAGAATAAAGAAATTAAAACAAAATGAGTAGTATTGTAATTTTACAGTAAAATAATTAATTTATTTAATTATAATTTTAAAAAAAATTCAATATTTTATTTTACAGTACAATAGTATTATTACAATATATTTCTTAATTAGTTTAATATATTTAATAATAATTACAATAAGATTTTTAATAAAAACTTTGAACCCCCAAATTTTAGAAGTTTTTTAAATTAAAAACTTTAAAGAAAAAAGTCATTTTTCTTTTATTTCTTTTTTTTTTCAATAATTATTCTAGAATGATTACATCTTTCCAAATAGAGCATCTGGTGAAACTTCCTGATTTAAAAAAAAAAAATAAAAATTTTCCCGCAATATATCGCAGAAAAACAAAAATATCGCAATGTCACATTTTTCCATAATCGTGCAGCCGTACTCTATTTGCTTTTATTATTCATGTTCCTGGTCTTTTTTTGTAAATAATTCATTAGTGCATGAAAATTGGGTCTTTCATCCAAACGAGGTTTCCCAACAGGGTCAGAGGCAAAATGCGATTCTGGAGTAAGAGCAAACGTGACGATAAAAAGATGTCCACCAGGGGGCGCTCCGCAGATTCAGAGCTCACCGGTGTGTGATTTTTCACTCACTTATTTCTCATCTCTACATGAGCCTTTTCTAATAAGGTTTCTGTCTCGCAGACTCTCCTCTAGGAAGCCCTGAGCAGGCCGGACTGTCCGAACGCGGACGCGACAGCAAGGAGAACCGCGAGCCCATGATGAGCATGATGTCGATGAAGAGGAGACGCAGTGTGAAGATCAGTAGCGTGTCGCTAGAATCCTCCGCCTGGCAGAACGACTCGCTGCACATCCTGACTAGCACCGCTGACTATCGCAGCATGAGCGACTTCCTCATGAAGAAGGTCTGTGCTTTCATTCTGCTGTTTAACTTATTGCATCACCAAAGCGGGGTTATTATCATTAACTAAAACTAAAACCATTTTTTGTTGCTTGAAGTAAAATAAATGTTAACTGAAGTCAATATTAAAAAAAAAAACGTAAACTTTTAATTTCAGTTAGTTGCCAAGGCAAAATTTCTCATTTTCATTTAGTTAAGTTTAACTTAATGTACTAAAATAACTAAAACTGAAATAAAAATGAATAAAAAACCTATATATACATCTTTAATAGATAACTAATACAATTGACAAAAATGCATGACTTAGAATTACTAAAACGGTAAATAAAATTAAAATGAAAACAGAATATAAAAAAATTATACTTTGATTGGATCTCATTCATGAAACTCAAGCACAATGAATATGTGTAAATTATTCATAAAACCATTTTAGTGTAGCTAAAAATCTTTTATTTGACAGTTTACGAAAGAATATTTTTGCACAGAAGTTTACATTAGAATGTTTTTGTGCGACTAGAATTGTCATTATCACTTACTTAAGAATAGTTACACGAATGAATTTGTGTAAATTGTTCGTAAAAAACATTCTTGGGTAAATTAGTTTACATATGAATATTTTATGTGACAGTTTACGAAAGAATAGTTTTATGCAACAATTTACGTTAGAATGTTTTTATGCAACTGTGGAATTTTCACTATAATTTACTAAAGAATAATTTTACGAATTAATATCTGAGTAACTTGTTTGAAAAACCATTTTTGCCCAAACTCTTGAATTGTTCGCATTAATGTTTTTGTGAAAATGTGAAATTGTCACTATAATTTACTTAAGATTAATTTTACTAATGATTTCTGTGTAAATTGTTTGTTAAACGATTCTTGTGTGAACCAATGCATTCAGTGCACATGAAAAGGAATATGTGACAGTTTTACGAAAGAATAGTTTTACGCAACAGTCTACGTTTGAATGTCACTAGAATTGTCACTAGAATTTACTTATGAATAGTTTTACTAATGAATTTGTGTAAATTGTTCGTAAAACCATTTTTGCGTAAACTGTCGCATTCAGTTCACATAGGAATGGTTTTTGTGACAATTTACGAAGGAATCGTTTTTTTCGCAACAATTTACATTAGAATGTTTTTGTGCCACTGTAGAATTGTCACTATAATTTACATAAGAATAGTTTTAGTGCTGAATTTCTGCGTAAATTGTTTGATAAACCGTTCTTGCATAAACTGTCAAATTCAGTTTAAACATGAATGATTTTGTGACAATTTACGAAAGAATAGTTTTACGCAACAGTCTACGTTTGAAAGTAAATTCTAGTGACAATTCTAGTTTTACTAACGAATTTGTGTAAATTGTTTGTAAAACCATTTTTGCGTAAACTGTCGCATTCAGTTCACATATGAATGATTTTATGTGACAATTTACGAAAGAATAGTTTTATGCAACAATTAAAGTTAGAATGTTTTTGTGCAACTGTAGAATTGTCACAATTTACATAAGAATAGTTTTACTATTGATTTCACTGTCAATTGTTCGTAAAACCATTCTCACGTAAACTGTCGCATTTAGTTTAAACATTAATAGTTTTATGACACTTTACGAAAATTTTTTTTTACTTAATAATTGACATAAGAACGGTTGTGTATGACCGTAGAAATGTCACCATATAATTTAAGATTAGCTTTATATGAATGAATACTTGTAAAAATTGTTCGTAAAACCGTTCTTGTGTATAAACTCGAGAATAGTTTACGAAATTATTTTTGCATTGTTTTACCATTTACCTTAGAATGTTTCGTGCAGCTATAAAATTCATAGAAATTGTTAGTTTTATGAATGAATTTCTGTATAAATTGATAGTAATATGGTTTTATGCGACAATTTATGCATCAAGAATGCTATAATGTGACCGTTTATGTAAAAATTATGAAATTTGTAATTATGTAAAATGTAAGAATATTTGTACAAACAAATATTTCTACAAATTGTTCATAAAACCATTCTTGTGCAACCTGTTACATGCAGTTTACATAAGAATGGTTTTGTATGACTAGAATTTTTGCCATAATTTACATAAGAATAGTTTTATATCTGTGCAAATTATTTGCTAAAAATTTCTTGCATAAATTGTATGCATAAGAAAGGTTTTACACAATTTATATAAAAATTGTCACAACAATTCAGTTGTTACAAAACCATTACGTAAGTATGATTTTAGAAGGATTTACGGAGAAATTCGTTCAGCAAAATTCTGCTAAATTAATCACACAGTAAAATGTGTTATTTGAAGTTGGAAGAAGTTGCCAAAATATTAAATATCTCTAATCGGACATTTCATAGATCAGCGATCTAGAAGCTGAAGACAGTCAGAAGGACACACCGGTGGATGTGGTCTTCAAGAAGGCCCTGAAAGAGTTTCGCCTCAACATCTTCAACTCATACTCTACTGCTCTGGCCGTGAGTTTCTGAAATCCAACATTTTGCTGTGACTTTAAAGCAACCCGGAAAACAACTTCTCACTTCCAGAATCTCGCCCTGAATGTGTCTCACCCTCAGATGGATGATGGCAGGAGCATTCGTTATAAAGATCTCTACGCTCTGTTCGAACACATCTTAGAGAAGAACATGCGTCTGGAGCAGAGAGACTGGAGCGAGTCGCCGGTTAAAGTCTGGGTCAACACGTTTAAAGTCTTCCTCGATGAGTTCATGACCGAATACAAGCCAGTGGATGGAACCATCAGTAAGGTAAAGCGTCTCTCTGAGTCCACAAACACGTATTGTCCTCCAAAACTCTTCTGAGACTTTGTGTTTGTTTTTCAGGCTCCTAAACCTGAGAGGAAGAAGAGGAGGAAAAAGGAATCGGACACCGTCAGTCCTTGTTTTAAACTCCCTTTAGATCATTAGTCTTGTGAAATGGGCTTGTGTAACAGTTAGCAATAAAATGGCAAAAACAACAAAAAATTCTAATACTTTCAAATTAAAATGAAAGCTGAAAATGTAAAAATAAAAACTAATTCTACTTTGATTGGACCTCATTCATGAAACTCAATGAGTAAATTATTCGTAAAACCATTCTTGCATAATTGTCACATTTAGTGTAGCTAAAAATCTTTTATGTGACAGTTTACGAAATAATATTTTTACACAGAAGTTTACATTAGAATGTTTTTGTGCGACTAGAATTGTCACTATAATTTACTTAAGAATAGTTACACGAATTCATTTGTGTAAATTGTTCGTAAAAAACATTTTTGGGTAATTTGTCGCATTCAGTGTAGGTAAGTGTTTTTTATGTGAAAATGTACAAAAGAATAGTTTTATGTGGCAATTTACGTTGCAATGTTTTTGTGCGACTGTAGAATTGTCACTATAATTAAGAAGTTTTATGAATTAATTTCTATGTGAATTGTTGACGAAAAGCATTCTTTCGTAAACTTTCTGTCATAATCATTTTACATATGAATGGTTTTATGCAAAAATTAACGAAAGAATAGTTTTACGCAACGATTTATGTTAGAATGTTTCGTTAGAATGTTTTTGTGTAACTGTAGAATTTTCACTATAATTTACTTGAGTAATCCTGCAAATGAATAAATTGTTTGTGAAAATCATACTTGCGTAAACTGTCAAATTAAGTTTACATATGGTGTTTTGTGACCGCGTACGAAAGAAGTTTTACGCAACAATTTACATTAGAATGTTTTTGTGCGACTGTAGAATTGTCACTATAATTAAGAAGTTATGAATTCATTTCTATGTGAATTGTTGACAAGAAACATTCTTTCGTAAACTTTCTGTCAATCATTTTACATATGAATGGTTTTATGCAAAAATTTACAAAATAATAATTTTATGCAACAATTTACGTTAAAATATTTTTGTGCAACTGTAGAGTTGTCACTATAATTAAGAATATTTTTACGAATGATTTTCTGTGTAAGTTGTTCATAAAAACCATTCTTGCATAAACGGTTGCATTCAGTTTACATGAAGGCTTTATGTTACAATTTACGAAAGAATAGTTTTATGCAACAATTTATGTTAGATTGTTTCGTTAGAATGTTTTTGTGCAACTGTAGAATTTGTCAAATTCAGTTTACATATGGTGTTTTGTGACAGCGTACGAAATAATAATTTTACGCAACAATTTACATTAGAATGTTTTTGTGCGACTGTAGAATTGTCACTATAATTTACATAAGAATACATTTACGAATGAATATCGGTGTAAATTGTAAAACCATTCGTGAGTAAACTTCATAATAGGCTTTATGAATTCTTGGTAACATCTTCAGTGCTCTGCTGCCCTCTGCAGGTGGAAGAGCACATGGGTCACATCTTTAAATCCACTCAGTACAGCATCCCGACATACTGCGAGTTCTGTTCGTCACTCATCTGGATGATGGACAAAGCGTGTGTCTGCAAACGTGAGTCCTGTTTAATCATTTTCAGTCTGGGAAATGTTTCACTCAACGTTATAGAGGGACTCAAGCGAGTGTATTTTCATGCCTGTAAAATAACATTTAAATAAACGAAAACTTAATAAAAAAAATATACACCCATTGACAGTTTTAATTAATTAAAAACTTTACCTAAATTAAAATGAAAACACAAAATATAAAAAAATTTAATTCAATTCTAAATATTAACCAATCTGTATCAATGATAGTAAGTAACAAAGTTTTGACACAGTTCAGTCTTCATAGTCTGCAGTCTCTCTCTCAGTTTCTCTTTTCCCGTATTTTGATCTGAGTCACTAAGTGTCTGTCTGCTAGTCTTGAGAGCAGCATAATCAGATTTTTTTTCCTGTAAATTCATCCGATTTCATCTGGACATGATCGATGATATCCTCTCAGTCTCATTTTCCTGGTGATGTGAGCAGGAAACGTGATGCTGGTGCTCAGATCCGCCGTTAACTGTGTGCTTGTTGTTTCTGGTTTTCTTCAGTCTGTCGCTATGCGTGTCACAGGAAGTGCTGTCTGAGGATGACCACCACATGCAGTAAGAAGGTAAGAACGCCTTAAAGTAGTGCTTGACCGACAGATATGTCATCCTTCTGATAGCCTGCGGTCTAGATATTGGATGTGACTCATCTTTGAAACACAGAATCTTTGTGCCTCAAACCTTCATTAAAGTAAAACGTTCATCAAGACAATCTCTGATGTTGGCCTGAGTAAGCCTGTAGTACTTTTAAAAGTTTGAAGTAGTTTTAAACCTTGAATTTGAATGGTTTTGAAGGTGGTACATTCCGTCTATCAGATAGAAAGACAGACATACTGGTTACTAGGCGTTGCTATGCTGTTTCTGAGGTTGCTATGGTATTTGAGGTGATTGCTACAAGGGTGTTGCTATGCAGTTGTGATGGTGTTCTGGATGGTTGGTATGTAGTTGTTCTGGGTCGTTGCTATGGTGTTGCTATGCAGTTACTAGGGTATTTGGAGTGATTGCTACTAGGGTGTTGCTAGGATATTCTGGGTGGTTGATAGGATGTTGCTATGCATTTGCTAGGTGTTCTGGATGGTTGATATGGAGTTTTCAAGTGTTCTGGGTCATTGCTAAGGTGTTCTGATTGTTGCTAGGCTATTTGGAGTGGTTGCTAGGGTGTTGCTATGCAGTTACTAGGCTATTTGGAGTGATTGCTAATAGGGTGTTTCTATGAAGTTGCTAGGGTGTTCTGTATGGTTGGTATGCAGTTGTTCAGGTGTTCTGGGTCATTGCTAGTGTGCCGTTATGCCGTTATTAAGGTGCTCTGGGTGGTTGTTAGGCAGTTGCTAGGATATTTTGGGTGGTGTCTAGGATGTTCCTATGCAGTTGCGAGGGTATTTGGAGTGGTTGCTACTAGGGTGTTGCTATGTAGTTGCTAGGGTGTTCTGGATGGTTGCTAGGGCATTTGGAGTGTTTGCTACCAGGGTGTTGCTATGTAGTTGCTAGGGTGTTCTGGATGGTTGGTATGCAGTCGTTCAGGTGTTCTGAGTGGTTGCTATGCAGTTGCTAGGGTATTCTGGGTGGTTGCTAGGGCTTTGCTATGTAGTTGCTAGGGTATTCGGAGTGGTTACTACCAGGGTTTTGCTATGTAGTTGCTAGGGTGTTCTGGATGGTTGTTATGCAGTCGTTCATGTGTTCTGGGTGGTTGCTATGCAGTTGCTAGGGTATTCTGGGTGGTTGCTAGGGCTTTGCTATGTAGTTGCTAGGGTATTCTGGATGGTTGTTATTCAGTCGTTCAGGTGTTCTGGGTGGTTGCTATGGTGTTCTGGATGGTTGGTATGCAGTCGTTCAGGTGTTCTGGGTGGTTGCTTGGGTGTTACTATGCAATTGCTAGGGTATTCTGGGTGGTTGCTATGCAGTTGCTAGGGTGTTCTGGGTGGTTGCTAGGCAGTTGCTAGGGTGTTCTAGATGGTTGGTATGCAGTCGTTCAGGTGTTACTATGCAATTGCTAGGGTATTCTGGGTGGTTGCTAGGGTGTTGCTAGGCAGTTGCTAGGGTGTTCTGGGTGGTTGCTAGGGTGTCTAATAGGGTGTTAAACTTAAACATGTCTCAGAAAGATCATTTATCATAGGAGAGAGAATATTCAGTGCCGTCACCAGTTGTATGTGAATCATCTTTGTGCTTCAAACTTCATTACAGTCATACTTTTCATGTGATTCATTTGTGTGTGTGTGTGTGTGCGCTCAGTTTGACCCCGAGCTGTCTTCACGGCAGTTTGGCGTTGAGTTGTCTCGTTTAACGAGCGATGAGAGAGCCGTCCCGCTGGTGGTGGAGAAGCTGATCAACTACATCGAGATGCATGGCCTCTACACCGAGGGCATCTACAGGAAGTCTGGATCCACCAATAAAATCAAAGAACTCAAGCAGGGGCTGGACACCGGTGAGCTACACACCAATGACATCTTACAGTAACATTTAGTCAAGTAGAAACCTTCATGAACAGCACCGCATGTTTGCCTTCATTGCAGATGTGAACAGTGTGAATTTAGACGACTACAACATCCATGTGATCGCCAGTGTGCTGAAACAGTGGCTGCGTGACCTTCCCAACCCCCTCATGACCTTTGAATTTTATGAGGAGTTCCTCAGGGCTATGGGTATGAGCACATATCGGATTTACGAAACGTTCTTAAAAATACAATTCTTCTTAACTGCTGTTTTCTTATTTTCATGCATTGTGTGTTCCCAAAAATACTTCTTAGGAATGTTCTTGTTTTTTCTTAAAAATCATCCTAAATTACTTGTTGAAGTTGGGATAATCCCCAACTTGTCTTAAATCCCTATTGGTAAGATGTTTATTGAATTTATTGGGTTATTTCAAATATTAAGCTTTACAACATAACACTAGCTACATATAATAAACCTAAAGTGACACCAGTTATCGATAAGGTTACAATTATGTGGTCATGCATTTGCATTTGGTCATGATTATGCACGACTAGACTTTTTTTCTGAATTCAAAATTTAGTAACAAACTACAAAAATGAGCCAAATATTGACCTTGTTTTTTTTTTTGTAAATACAACCATTTTTGGCTAAATCTTTAATTACTATTTAAAATACATTAAAAATATATATATAAATAAAATAAAAAATGCTGAACTCCCGTCAAGCAAGTCTCTGCAATAATAGTGTGCACATATTATGATTATTACATTAATATGCATTGAGTTGATCAGCAAGTCTTCTGCAAAAACCAACATACAATCGTATAGGACATTTTCTTCTTAGGAAAAATATAAGATGTTTTTAAGAAAACATTTGAGAACTTAATTTCTTAGAATAATATATCTAAAGAAATTTCTTAACTTCTTTCTTAAAGGGACAGTTCACCCAAAAATGTTAATTCGGTCATCATTTACTCACCCTCATGTTGTTCCAAACCTGTATGAATGTCTTTCTTCTGTTGAACACAAAAGAAGATATTTTGAAGAATGTGGGTAACCAATCAGTTGACGGTAGCCATTGACTCCCATGGTACAGAAAAAAATATTATGGTAGTCAATGGCTACCGTCACCTATCCCTTTAAGTCGATTGTCGTGAATCCTGTTCTCTCACTGTTTTCAGCAAAACACTCATATTTGAGCTGATTTACGTGGATATAATGTGTGTGTGTTGTCACTTTGGCTGGTGTAGGTCTGCAGGATAAGCGTGAGGTGGTTCAGGGGGTTTATTCGGTCATCGATCAGCTCAGCCGAACTCACCTGAGCACACTGGAGAGACTCATATTCCACCTGGTCCGGTGAGACGATAGCTGGATGGTTTTACCCAGTGCCTGTAGATACAGCAGGATGGTCAAGTTATGTTTCATGTCTTATGTTGGTTTGTTTCAGGATCTCATTCCAGGAGGAGACGAATCGCATGTCTGCCAACGCGGTGGCCATCGTGTTTGCACCCTGCATACTGCGCTGTCCCGACACCACCGACCCGTTACAGAGCGTCCGGGACATCAGCAAGACCACTGCGTAAGACTCGCTATATGCTACGTTCAGAACACAATACCAGTGTACTGCATAATATGAAAGCTCATTTCTGCCAAGCAATAAAAATATATATAAAAAAAGATAATTGAAACTTTATATCTCACAATTCAGATTTTTTTCCTCGCAATTCTGAATTTAAGTTAGAATTCTGAGAAGAAAAGTAAGAATTGTGAGAGGAAAAAGTAGCAATTACTACTTTATTTTTTTATTCCATGCCAGAAACAAAAAAAAAAAGTCAGAATTGCAAAATGTAAAATCACAATTATGAGTTCATATATTTCAGTTGCAAGATACAAACTGTAAGAGATTGTGAGAAAAAAATTTGCAATTACCTTTTTTATATTTCTATTCCTTGGCAGAAATAATCTTCCATAACATACTGTATACTGCCTTACATTTTATGTTTTTGTAAACCAAATGTATAGCTGGACGGCATACTGTTTATTTAGCACGTTCAACACGATTTATAATATGTGTGTTTAAACATTCCCTTCTCAGGTGTGTGGAGCTGATCATCTGCGAGCAGATGAGGAAATATAAAGCCCGTCTGAAGGACATCAACACGCTGGAGTTTGCCGAAAGCAAAGCCAAGAGTCGGCTGACGCACATCCGGCGCTCGATGGTGAGTGAAACGACCCCCCAGAGCCCCAGACCGACCCAGCACCTGCACCCTGATGCCCTTCCCATTTAAACCCAGTCCCCATTGTGAAACCTCACTTTACATTAATGTGGCCCATGAAATTTAGATTCACAAATCCCTCGTTCCCCATGTAATGAGAACTATTGAATATTTAGCTAAAAGATGATCTAATTTAATGATTTTGTCACATTTGATAGCTTTATGTGTGTGTGTGTGTGTGTGTGTGTGTGTATATATAAAATTATATTGTCTATTTTTTATTTAATGTTACACTGATAGCTTACTCTAGGCTATAAATCTAAAATTTATATAAATGCATCCATATATAATTTATAATGTTAATTTATAATTACTGACTATTTTTCGTTGAATGTTACACTGATAGCTTAGTTTATGCTTTAAATATCAATTTTATATAATTTTAATATTTATACTTAAAATTAATAAAATAGACAAATATAAAATGTAAAAAATATATACATAATTTGTTACATTGATAGATTAATTTTGATTTTTTTTCAACTATTCACATTTGATAGCTTAATATAGGCTTAATTACTTAAAACGTTTTTTTTATTTATTTTATATTTATTTTTAATGTTTATTTTATATATACATATTTATATTTATATAATTAAACATTTTATATATTTTTACAATTGTATAATTATTAACAATTATAATAATTATTATTATTTACTATTTGTGTTGTGTGTAATGTTAATTATAATGTTTACATTGAATTAAATTACAATGCTTTTCACTTCGATACTCAAGCTTTAGTTTCTACGAATTGTGAACTCAACCTTTTGACATCTGAAAACTGATATTTCATCCATTTAATTTATTATTATTTGTTAGTATACTTAAAATTCTATATATTCCAAATTTGTAGTTTAGAATTTTTTAATAATTCACATTTAATAGCTTCATTTTGGCTATAAATATAAATTGTATATATATAAATTTATAGTTATATAAACATAAAATTAATAAAATAAGACAAATATCAAATTTTTAAAATATATACATAAAATTTATGTTACATTGATAGATTTGATTTTTTTTTTCAACTATTCACATTTGATAGCTTAATATAGGCTTAATTAATTACTTATTTTATATTTATTTTTGTTTATTGCTAGAATCAAAATGGACAAATCAGTGTTTTAAATTGTATTCAGTCATGTCCCAAATTCTGAGATACAGGGTTGCAAAAATTTGCAAACTACACATAAAATAAATTTAAAAAATGGCTAATACAAGTTTGACCTTCTCAGCTTTTTTAAGCCTCATTCATGGAAAGTGTCGCACATGTTTTCAGACAGACATTCCTCTAATCCTGTTTTCTTCCCTTCACTCCTCTCCTCATCCAGAAACCAGTACTAATTGCAGTTAGGTTTATTGGCATTACCAGAACTGCCACCGCGGTATGTATCCACGCCGAAACATCGTCGTGTCAGTGTAGCGTCGTTAGCTGCCATCCGTGGTTTGATGACGTGTTCATTTGCGCCTGTTGAAGACGTTCAAGCTAATTACCAAATGCTGTCGTGTGATTGGTTGTGAGGAGCGACCAGATGTCAAGTCCTGTTTGTTTACCGCTTGTCTTGTTTTCCCGGCGCATGCGGCGTGCTGCTGTATTACTAACACCTCCTCTTCTTTTATTTCTCCTGCATTTGCGTTATTTCACAGCCAAACGCAGCTAAAAAGGTAAAGCTCAGTGACTGTGTGTGTCTCGCGCGTCGCAGTGCTGTCTGTCAGTCGTGCTAGACTTTGTGTTTTATTCATTCACATGCAATTATACGCATTTTATATAAATCTGACATTTTATATTAACCAGTACATTTATGCACAAATCAGTGTGTGTGTTACTGATAGCTTAATTTTGGCTAAATCTGTAATCTTATAGCAACTTATAACAATTTGATTAAATGTAACTTTTAAACATTTAAATCATAATTTTATTTTAAATGTAATTTAACTGTTAATAATAATTCCAAAATACCTACACTGCTTTTCACTTAGATATGAAAGCTTCGGTTTCTATTCCACGAATTATAAAGCATAAACTTTTAATAAAAATGTATCAATTTTTTCATTTATTTTTGTTTATTTAATGTTACATTGACAGCTTCATTTATGCTATATCTGTAATGTTTTTTTTTACTATTCACATTTGATAGTTTAATTTAGACTATAAATATAAATTTTATATGAACATAGATATTTATATATAAATAAATATATATTTGTTTTTTATTTTATGATTGTCTATTTATTTCTGTTTATTTAATGTTACATTGACAGCTTTAATTTGATAGCTAAATTTGTAATTGTTATGATTTTTTTGGTAAGCATTCACATTTAATAGTGTAATTTAGGCTATAATTATAAATTTTATATATACATATTTATATTTATATAATTAAACATTTTATATATATTTTAAATTGTATAATAGTAACTATAATAATAATAATAATAATGATTTACAATTTGTTTTGTGTGTAATGTTTATTATAATGTTTACATTAAATTTATTTAAATTTAAATAGTAAATAGTAATTCCAAATTACGTACAATGCTTTCATTTCGATACTCAAGCTTTAGTTTCTACGAATTGTGAACTCAACCTTTTGACATCTGAAAACTGATATTTCATCCATTTAATTTGTTTTTAAAAACAGCCACCCTAGGACTTCATATCCTATTTTTAATTCAAAACACTTTGGAATAATTAGTTCTTATGCTCCGGTCTGCTGTTTTCGTCAGGGGCGTTTACGCAAAAGTGGGCGCCACACGCCCTCACCGCCCTTAAGCCCTGGAGCAGCAGAGGGGGCGGAGCCGGGCGAGGAGGGGGCGGAGCCTGCGCTGAGTGAGCAGCAGCAAGCAGCCATGCAGCAGGAGGAGAAAGTGTTGTCTCAGCAGATAGAAAACCTGCAGAAAGAGAAGTTAGTAAAGACCTTTTGAGCCATGATTATTGTTTATTTCCTTGATTTCTTACTGTCGTTATCGCTTCACTTTAGGGAAGAACTGACCTATGAGATGCTGGCTTTGGAGCCCAGAGCGTCTGATGACGAGATGCTGGAGTCGGAAGCATCTATCGGAACAGCAGACAGCTCAGAAAACCTCATGGAGTCGGAAGGCGCCGCGTCCGATCAATGGGGTGACGCTAGTTTGCTTGTTTGCTACAAGTAGTTTTAAAGAGATAATTCGCCTGGAAATGAAAATCCTCGTCCCTCATGTCATTCCACACCCATAAGACTTTGGTTAATCTTCAAATTAAGACATTTTTATGAAACCTGAGAGGTTTCTGTTCCTCCATCCAAAGTCCAGAAAGGTAAAAAAAAAAGGAATTTTAAAAGGTGCCATAGAATGGAAAACTGTATTTACCTTGGCATAGTTGAATAATAACAGATCTGTGCATGGAAATGACATACCGTGAGCCTCAAACACCATTGTTTCCTCCTTCTTATGTAAATCTCGTGCATGCAAAAGACCAGTGAAAAACAGGCGAATCAGAACATAACACCGACTGTGACGTTGTAACACATATACCTTTGTCTTTTGTGCAAATGCTACACGAAATGAGGGACCAAACAGACCAATCCTACTCATGAGTCAGGTGTATTAAATATAATTACCAAGCACATACAAATTCAATATGACACACAATTGTGAGTTCAACAGTTAGAACCAGAGCATAAAACCAGTCCAGTATCCCAAAACAGAGCCCCTAGCTTGTAGTCACTTAGACCCATATACTTTGCTCAGTCTTTGTGGTACTAGGGTTGTAAATGGACATGTAAAACCGTTTCTGGAGATTTTGTGCCCTTAACTAAACCACGTACCTTCTATGTAGGTATCAGAGAACAATTTAAAATATTGTATCAATGCATTCTATGGCACCTTTAAAACGAATTCATATGAATCAAGTGGTTTAAAACAAGTCTTGTGAGGAGATTCTATCACTTTTCCTCCTTTTAAAGTCCAAGTAACCAAAACTTAGAACATTCAAAAAGGTCATAAAGGTATCGTAAAACAAATTCATATGAATCAAGTGGTTTAAAACAAGTCTTGTGAAGAGATTTGATCACTTTACAGACCTTAGTCAGGTAAGCTGTATTGACTTTAGGATGAAAATGAGGATGTGAGGGATAAATTTGCAATTTACTCACTGTGTAAAGCTCCTACATTGTCATTTTCACAACTTTCAAAACGGTTTTATTTAGAGCTTTTAGTCCAGACTTGCGATAAACCTCTCTATTCATATGGATCCGTTTGGATGACGGCTTTATGAACTTCTGAATTTTGGTTACCCAGACTTTCAATGGAGGGACAGAAACCTCTCAGGTTTCATTACAAATATCTTCATTTGTGTTTCGACGAACCAAAGTCTTATGGGTTTGGAACAACATGAGTGTGAGCAAATGACGACACGATTTTCATTCGTACGTGAACTAACCCTTTAAGCATCGCACATGATTTGAAGTGTCAAATGTCTCCTCTGTAGACAAAAGCCCCGGCGCCGTGTCGGCAGCACGCTGGAGGAAGTCCGAGTCCAAAAGCAGACGCGGTTTACAGCGTCAGCCTGAATCTCTGGACTCAGTGGACTCGGCCGTAGCCTCGCTGTCCTCGGTGTCGTCCACGCCTCACTATCGGGTTCGTTCGTCCTCTTCCGGGCCGCTATTTTCCTCCAGCTGTCCCGGCGGGGACTTGCACATTCTCCCCGACCAGGAGGGCTCCGAACAGGCTTCCCTGAACACCCGATGTGCCTCCAGCTCCGAGAAAACCCCAGGCAACCGAAGCTGCTCGCCAAAGTCCCGCGAGCCGGGCGAAGGCGTCGCCGGCGGCCGAAGACGAGAACATGACTTCGGTTCTTCTCAGCCTTTGGTGCTGTATGGGAGTAATGAATTTATGGTGTGACGAGCAGGAACACCAACGGATGTCCGAATAACATTTAAAGTGAAAGAGAGAAGGCTTGGGAATCAACCTTCAATTGCTCGGTGATCAAAATTGCAAGGAAGGTACTGAATGGGGTTTTTACGAAATGTACGACCTACTGACTGTAACGGACCTGCTGGACTGGTCCGTTTCTCACAGCAAGAATAGTTGAACGGGGAAAGAGCGATTTTTAATCAACTGAGCCAATGAGAAGTCAAGCGACTTCAACCGAATGCATGCCGTATTGCTACTATTTTGTTTTCACTCTATGATTAAAACCTTTGATAAAGAGCTAAATATGTAAAATAATATTATATATATCTCGAACGAATCATGTAAATAGCTGAAATCCCTGTGCTGCTGAGTAACGTCGTCTTGTGTTGCAGATTGAAAACTAGAGCGTCTGTCTCTGTATGTTGTTTCTTTTGGGTGAGTGTGACAAAAACGCACATGATTTAGGTCTTATTTTGTCTTATTTCGTTGCATAAAGCAAACAATCTTGGTTTTCTTTATGCAAAATGGATTTGAAATCTGACCCGGACATGTGCTTTAACCCATGTTTTATTAGCTTTTTTGGTTTCAGCAACACGTTTTCCCTTCAGATGAAAAAGCAAAAGGATGAATAGGGATGAGAAGTCAGATGTGTGTAGCTTTACTCTCCATCCTTTTTTTTTTTCATCAGTGTTATGTGCAACCAAATCAGGACTTGAGAAAATATTTTGTCCTTTTTTTTGGTTAATTGCTTTTTTTGAAAGTATATTGTGTTTATACATGCTGATATTTTATTGTGGATTTCAAGTATATTAATATTTTTGGTGTTCCACTGTGCCATCTGGAGTCACATGTTGTCCTTTGTTTAAAAATTAGTTTTAATTTAGGGCTAATTTATCACAAACATCCTCTAGCTGCGGATTTTTACCCTTTAAACTGTCATTAGTAGATTAACATGCACGTTTATAGTTCATAGAAAACAAGGACAGGTAACGGCAAAAGCTCAAAGCTTTTGTATGAACTATATAGTATGTTTACGCAGTCAGCATTGCTGTTTATGTGCAGGGAATGTGTCTCCAGAAGCTGTTTACTCTTTTCGATGTGCTGTTACAGATGTCTATATCTATATCAGCCATAGCCTATTGCAAGAAACCATCACCATGGTGCAATATCACAATAGACATTAAGCTATGTTTTTATGTTCTGATGAGTATACTTGGGTACTATCCTAACCTTAAGTTTACTAATGCTCAAAAACAGGCGGTAAGAAGGAAACGGTTGTTTGATGCGTCCTGCATAAGTGAATGTAATCACTGTAGCATGCCACACTATTGTCAAAGTTTCTCTTTTACAGCCACTGTATTTAAGACCATGTCTGAGGCCGGAAACATACTCTGTGCAAAAAACGCAAACCCGAATGCAGTCCCGTACATATTTAACATGTATTAAGGTGTGGTCACATTTGCAAAGTTTTGTGTGGAAAAAAAGGTTATCCATTCCTACTGGATTCCTATTGGAATGACTGGATTTCGCACATGAAATTTCGCTGAGCAACAGTAAAGCTTCCAAACGCATTACCTTATGGAAGCCCATTTCTGCCACGTAAGAAAAAAAAAGTCTAAATTATCACGTTAAATGTCATAATGATGACATTAAACGTAGAAATTCACACAAAAAAGACAAAATTTTCAATAAAAGTTGAAATTATGACATACTGTATTAAGTCGTAATTATGAGATAAGTCGAAATTATGAGATTGTCGTAGTTATGACATACCAAGTCAAAATTATGATTTAAGTAGAAATTCACAATAAAAGTTGAAATTATGACATGAATCGAAATTATGAGATTGTCGTAGTTATGACATACCAAGTCAAAATTATGATTTAAGTAGAAATTCACAATAAAAGTTGAAATTATGACATGAATCGAAATTATGAGATTGTCGTAGTTATGACATACCAAGTCAAAATTATGATTTAAGTAGAAATTCACAATAAAAGTTGAAATTATGACATGAATCGAAATTATGAGATTGTCGTAGTTATGACATACCAAGTCAAAATTATGATTTAAGTAGAAATTCACACAATAAAAGTTGAAATTATGACATACTGTATTAAATCGAAATTGTGAGATTGTTGTAGTTATGACAAACCAAGTCAAAGTTATGACTTAAAAAGTAGAAATTCACACAATAACAGTTGAAATTGACGTAATGTATTAAGTCATAATTATAAGATAAAAGTCGAAATGATGTCTTTGTCGTAATTATGACGTACTAGGTTGTAATTATTACTTTAGTGTTGAAATTGACATACTGTACTAAGTCATAATTATGAGATAAAAAGTCAAAACTGTATGTAATAATTTCAACTTTTAAAGCCACAAAGTTGAAATTGACATAAAAAGTCAAAATTATGAGATAAAAAGGCAAAAAAGTATTTAGCATTTTTTTAAAACTCAATTGACTTGTCAATTTCTCCTTTTAAAGTCATAATTTCGACTTTATCTCAATTATGCCTTTTTATGTCATAATTTCGACTTGAATTTTAAGTAATAATTACAGCTTAGTATGTCATAATTAAGATTTTTAAAGTTTTATAATTTTAACTTTTCGTTGAAAGCATGATTATTATTATTTATTTTCGGAAATGGGTTTCCATAATGGGGTGAGTTAGTGTCAAATGTCTATTGTTAATCCGGATTTAGGTAACTAGCAATAAACGTGTTGACAGGTTAACTAACATTACCTGAGTATGCGAGTAGTTGAGCTGAAAAGAAAAACTGAGGTTATAATGTTAATGAGCTTTAAGCGCGCTCTTCAGGGTTAAAAACAAGGGATGTAATTGAGGGATGTAGGCTAATATCTTGCATATGCCGATTGTTTTGTGTCGAATGATCCTGCTCTGTGTGTTTCGATTTACTGACAGTCTCTACATTTGTGCTTCGTGTTTGTGCTCTCGTGAGCGCAGTTGTAAACGGTGCAATTTGTGTAATATTTCTTTAATGTGCAGCTGTAAGGATGTAAAAAGAAAAATTAACATAATCATTGTCTTATTAAAAAAAGATGAATACAATGAACCTGCTCAGGTTTCCATAGTCGAGAGAAAAAGGCGGAAATATGCTTTCTATTTGTCTTTCCGTCAGTATTAACCATTTTATTCTAATAGTGTTTAAGGAGAAATATGGACGCATCCTGTTTTAATGAGGCTATTTGAAGCGCTTAAACTAATAGAATTAGGCTACAGTATTTTGAGCGGACTTGCCAAATATGCACAACCTGCATTTTCTGTAACTTTCATGTTATTTTCTGAAAATTCCTTAAAAAATATAATAATTAAATGATAAAAATATAAACTAAATGTCACAACGATGTTTTTCCACGATGTTAGTCACTGCAACCCTCTACATTGCGAGTAAATCACTCGCATATGCGACTAAATCTTCACTCTGGGCGACTAAATGATGTCTAATATTAGCCTCCAACTCACACACTGGCGAGTAAAATCTGATAATTTATTAGCAATTGGCTAAGTATAAGTTTAGCTCAGATATATTTTCACTCGCCGAACACTCTCTGACTGAGCGCATCAGAGTTTCACTCTCCGCCAAGCGATCTGTGCTTGTATATATGTGTGTGTGTATGTGTATATATGTGTATGTGTGTGTGTGTGTGTATATGTGTGTGTATGTGTATATATGTGTGTGTGTATGTGTGTGTATGTGTATATATGTGTGTGTGTGTGTGTGTGTATGTGTATATATGTGTGTGTGTGTGTGCGTGTGTATATATGTATATGTATATATTTATCAGTCTGGCGAGTAAACAAAAAAATGTACTAGCCAATGGCGATTCAATTGCCAAGGTGTTCGTAGAGGGCTGCACTGTGAAGTGGGCGTGTCCTGATTCGTTGCCTGTTGCTAGGCAGAACAAACCATTTGGAGTTCAAATATAAAACAGACTTCTCCTTAATTTAAATTATGACTCAAAATAATGTGTGCTTGCACAATTAAATTGTAAGATTATTTGGGGTTTATTATAATAATAAAGATTGTTTTACTGCAGTAAAATAATAATGGAACTCCATGGCATTCCAAATCGTTTAGTTTATAAAACAGTCATAACTTAATAATTTTCAACTAAAACCATATTGTATCCGATCAGCAACTTCTCATTGTTCAATTCTTCTGAAAGTTTTGAATGTTACCATGTCATTACTGTATTTACCCCTTTTTGATTAATAAAAAAAGTTTGATATTCTTTGAAATTTCTAATTACACGCAAAAAAACTGTGTAACTAATGATTACTCAAAAACAGTTTAAATTTATGAAACCTACATATTTATTTCTAACAAAACATCAAAACAACAAATATAACTGACAAGTTTTCAAACAAAATTGTACTTTAAAATTGTGCACTAAAGTGATCAATTCTTTATGCATAAATTTTTAGACACTATATAACTTGTTAATTTTTCAAACAGTATTTTTGACGCCTAATTGTAACCCTGCTGACTGTAGTTGTGTGCGTGGGACAGTGACACAAAATCACAACTTCTGCAGTTCGCGTTTACAGTCAGCAAATAACAAAACAGTCACCATGGCAACAGAAGCACAATTCAAACCTGTCACTTTGCCTGTTACCATGGTATCAACACTGGGCCTGTAGACTAGTCTAGAGTTGTTACCATGGTAACTAACAGGAGACCACCGGACTGGGAACTATTAGATTACAATTAATGAGTTCATTTTAGTTTGTAAACACTCTTCATTTTAGTTTGTTTGGAGGTATTTTTTAGACTTTATTGTAACTTTCATATGATAACATTTGGATCTGTTAAGCTTTGTATAATGAATATAACACAGACTGTAGATATAGGTCTGATTAATGTCATATGCCCATAGTACATCGCTTTATTTCAATAATTCATATTTTATTAATATATATTTAATTGAAAAAAAAAATCAGTTATGAAAGTGAAAACATGTTATGATAGATGTATTATGTGAAAATATAAAATTTAAAAACAATGTGTGTAATTCTACACTAAAATATTGTAAAAAATAAAAAATATATGGTCACCAAAATACTGCATTAAAAATGTGATTAACTATAAAATGTTACGTAAAAATGCATGTAATTCTACAGTAAAATACGTACAAATAAGTATGAAAAATATAGTTACCAAAATGCTTGATAAAAAAAAATGTAAGTGAAAAAATACTATATTTAAAAACAATTGATGTAATTTTGCATTAAAATATTACAAGTTTTGTTTTAATTATAAAAAAAAGCAAATTTTTTTTAATGTAGCATTTTGGTGACTACAAGTGAAAAATATATATATTTTTTAAACACAATTCATGTAATTTTACACTATAATATTGTACTAAGTATAAAAAATATAGTCAAAATGCTATACATTCAAAAATCTAAAAACACAGAGCATGTAATTCTACAGTGAAATATTGTAAAAACGCCTTTTTAATAAGTATAAAAATTATAGTCACCAAAATGCTACATTAAAAAAAAATTTTTTTTACGAGAAGTGAAATATATTATAACAAAAATGCTACATTAAAGAATTTACATGGTTAACGATGCAAGTTAAAAATATTATATTTAAAAAAATGTAATATTATAAAAAATTAGTCACCAAAATGCT